TAGGAACCTTAAACCCTAAACCCTAGGAACCTTACACCCTAAACCCTAGGAACCTTAAACCCTAAACCCTAGGAACCTTAAACCCTAAACCCTAGGAACCTTAAACCCTAAGCCCTAGGAACCCCTTAAACCCTACACTGTAGGAACAGTGAGGTCCTGAGACCTTGGTTCCTGTACCCAGGGGGAAGGCCGGTGCGGTGACTTCCGGGGGCCCTAGACTTGCATATAGTACATATAGGGATTATATAGGGACTATATTCCTTTTTCCCCCAGTCAGTAAACCATGTAGTCTCAACCCGAATTCCTAAACTGGCCCTACCCCCTAAAGCCTAACCCCTAAACCCTACACTCCTTACTCTAAGCCAGGAGCTCTGGCTTGTTTCTTGCTGATCTGGTGACAGCTTTAGGGTAAACAGGCGGATTCAGGACACCGGTAGCAAAATTATCTGAAGTCTGGTAACACAGCAACTGCTGCTTTCAGACGTTGGCGTCTCGCAGACGTGTAGTCTTGGTTGGCCTTTGGAACCCTTTTGAAAACGTTAATATATCAGGTCCTGCCCTAAACCCTACACTCCAAACGGCAATTTCCTCGGGCCGTGGCTCACTGCAGAACTGCTCAAACTCCTCCTCTGAGACATCCAGAACCTGCTCTGGTTGGCTGAAAGTGCCTCCTTCGAAGGTTGTTTGTAAAACATGAAACGCCCTGCTATTTTGCGACAGATGAGGCTTTGCTGTCATGTGTGGTGGACAGTATGAAGACGATCCAAGAATCTCCGAGGGCATTTGAATCATTGATTGGGAGATGCGCTTCATGTAGTGTTGTTCAGATGTGGATGCTGCAGTGTTGGGCTCGCTGAAACCAACTTCTTCAAGTCTTAAAGTACAAGTTTTGGAGCTCAAGCAGCCATCCAGGACTTATGTGTGGCATTTCTTAAGCCCCTTTTAGTAGAGCGTATGGCTGATTCCGCCTTGTGACCGGCATCCTTGATGAAGGCCACGGCTGACCTTCAATTCTGCTGCATGATCATCACTATTGGTTCCCACTCTTCTTCGTGGTGAAAGGCTGATACATACTTGGGAGATTCTTGAACCCCGAACTGCACTGAGGCTTTTCGGTTCAGCCTCCTCCACATGTGGATCTAGCAAGCTCAATACTGGGCGCATGCTTGCTGATATGGAGACTCTCAAATGGGGGCTGCAACTGCCCTTTGAACTGGAAAGGGGCAAGGCTGCCCTGCACCAGGGTTCAGGGTTCAAGTGCCCAACGGGAGGTAGAAGGGTCACTCAGAAACTCTTGTGGTAGGATGGTCAACTGGAGCTTCCCTGCTAATCAACACACTTCCTCATGAAAGCTACAGTCAATGCACTAGGTCCACTAGTGGGTCCCTACAGTCACTAATCCCATCCCAGCAAACTGCCGTGCACTTCAGGGTGCTTCAAGCAGCTCGCGTCATGAATGGAACCCAAGCAAAAAGTCGTCGTGTCAATCAGCTGAAGCAGGCAGACTTGAAAGGACGAAGGCCCAACCGCGAGAGAAATGCAAATGTTCATTTGGCAGGAGAAGCTAGCAGCTACAAGCTCATTAATATGGGGCTATCTGTGAAAGGGGGGGCTGTTTGGAGTGGCTATCAGAGCTTGTCCAATCCACTTGGCTCAAACAGCAAGACTCCTTGGGCGCAGACTGCAGGGCCGTGAGAAAGTAGGCATCCTCTCAGAATGCGGACTAGCTTGTTGCTAGCTGTTTTTTCTTTAGGTTCGGGTTCCAGGGGTTGCGCGTCTGTGATGTGGGACTTAGCTGCATGCTGTAACAAATTGCCTTTGAAAAGCCCAGCTCTCCGGGAAAAGTCTTACAATGACCGCGCCGTCTGTGTCTTGAATGTGAAGCTTGGAACTGTAGCCCACAGCTCAGATGACATGTGCCCTTCAGCCGACGGTGAACGGCCATTGTAGTTTCTTCCACTTTCTCTTCCATGATCCTCTCTTTAACCCCCAGTACCATATAGCAGCTTCCATTTTCTTTTACATTATCCCTATACTACCCTATACATACTCTGCGAGCCAGGCGGTCTTTCTCTTGAAGCGGTCTCAAGATGAGACGATCAATCCTTCTCTGGCATCCCGAAACCTATCCTACATACCCCCACGTATATATAGTCCCCTAAACTAAATAGACTATGGAGTATATGGGGATCTATACCAAAGCCACATATTATCTACTTAAGGGGGACTATAATGCCTCAGAATCCCTGTCAATCCCAAATGCGCACCTTTCAAAGATGCAATCCCTTGATATAAACCTGCCCTGCAACCAGGTACGTCTTCTAAAGCCCGCAAGCAGGACGCGTTCAGAACCCCTTCTGCCGTCCAGTACATAAAGCTATCTATCTATCTATACATGCATACATGCATACATACATTAATACATACCTTTTTTTATTAGTCCCAAAACTTGACCCATGCTCTAAGCGAACCCTGATGTCAATCTGAAAACAGCAAATGCCTCATGTTTCTGAACCTAAAGGCCGAACCCTATACAAGCCCTGGACACTGACCCTCAAGCTTGAACCTCGCGCTTCCACAATTATTGGGGCATTTCTGAAAACATCGGCTCCACTACCCTACCACATATTTGAATCCTATGCGTACCTCAAAGACGGTGATTCTAAACGCTGCTTCTGGGTGCAGCCAGCCTCTGCCACGAGACGCGAGGGATGCCTGCCATAGGGGTCTAGGATTTAAGCTTTTGGGTTTCGGTTCTTGGGTTGAGGAATTGGGTTGGGGCAAATTGTCCTCTTCTTCCCCTGCGCTCCCCAGCATCGCCCACGCAGGTGCCATGCCGATTCGCTCAAAATCATTCTTATCCAGATTGATATTTTCACCAGTGTTGCTATTATTACTGTTTCCATTATCCTTTCTATTCCTATGACTCTTATCATTATTCCTACTACTCTTTTTAGCTGGTGGCCGGCGCCAAGGTCGCACTGTTTTTTGAGGTGTTGTCCGGCTTGGGGGGGAGGGTGGGGTGGGGGGGGATAAGATCGTCATTCATATTGCGTCCATGCCCAAAACACTGGAATTTACTGTGTTGTCGCCTCTTTGTACAACACATTGCACAAAGGATGTGGAACAAGACACTCTGTCACAAGCGTCCATGCCGTTCGCGACTATGCAAAAACACTGGTATTGACAGTGTTTTGCGTCTTTGTACAACAATGTGGATCAAGGTAAGCTGTCACAAGCCTCCATGCCTTTGGCGACCATGCTCAGAACATTGGTATTTACAGCGTTTTTGTTTCTCTACGTGTGGCAGGGTTGCGGACTCCGGTTTATCACACTCAATCTCAGAAACCGAAACACAAGGTAACAAAAAGTGAATGCACTAGTTTCCTGGACGCGCACTACCCTGTTTTTTCTCTAAAGCGTGCTCAACCTAGGTTTCGTGCCACTTTTACGTATAGAAAGCAACAGGGCGACCTATGCGCCGGCACCCTTTTAGTTCTAGTACAGTTGTGATTACTCTTACTACTATGAAGCCCTAAACCCCAAACCCTTTATTATTATTATTCTTATCAATTATGTCTCTCTTGCCCAGTGCCCGGCCCCAGCCACCAGAGCGCAAAATTCCATCCCTGTGACCACGCCAACATACAGCCCCCCTTAGGTAGTTCGATTACTTGGAGGGTCATAAGGACTTCGTCAGTAGGCTGATAATGGGGATAGTTGGGGATAGTATGTGGCTTATAGGGGTGATTAACCTACTTACTACGTCTCCATGACCCTCCAAGTAGGGTTTGGGGTTTCGGGTTGTGTGCAATGGCTATAATGACCATCGGCTTGAATGAGGCACAGCAGTGCGAGACAACACATTCTCTCGCAACCATGGATTGCGTAAATTCAGTGCTGCGAGAGACTTCTGGAGGCTTACTCCGTCCTTGCTTAGGTTTCTGTAGTTAGCAGCAAATACAACACAAAGACTATCTGACCTAATTTGGGCAGATCCTCAACGTCCAGTGGTTCCTAAACACTGTAGTTGCCTCGAACATATAATCAACATGACATGCCAAATTTCTAGCATTTTCTGAAGGAAACAAGGAACATGAAACCAGGAGAACAATCAGACTGGAGTCTGGGAAGCTGCCCTAATGCCGTTTGACACTCCTAATCCTACACCCCCAATCCCAAATGCTACGGCCTTCCTGGCTTGCTGTTGAGGAACTTACATTAAGTTACCATGTTATGGGTATATAACGAATAATGGAGCTTCCTTATGATAATAACTTCACTTAAGTTCTTTAACACCAACCCAGCTTCAAGCCTCAACACTCCATGAAACAGCCCTAAACCTCAAACCCCAAACCCTAACCCTAAACCTCAAACCCTAAACCCTAAACCCCAAACCCTAAACCCGAAACCCTAAACCCCAAACCCTAAACCCTCAACCCCAAACCCTGAAATGAAGCAGCGTAATTCCGGGAAGTTCAAGGGCCTGAAAGCTGCTACGAACTCGATGTTCGAATGGAGCCGAGGTGGATTGGCCTTGGGCAGTATCGCGAAATTTAGGGTTTAGGGTTAGGGGTGCTACTATTAAGGATTTAGGGGATATATTAGGGTTATATAGGGATACAAGGGTTATATTGGGGCTATATGGGGATCATAGAAAAGACTAATGTTGACTTCACATTAAGAA